TAAAATTATTCTTCTAAATATCTAATCCAAACACATTCTAAAAATATATATGAATTATAAATGCCAATAAAGATCCGTTGAATTGGTAATGTGACGCCGCTAAATCAAGTCTAGGATGCAACAATCGCGATTTTGCAAGTGTGTTATGATACATATTCTAATTATTCACTTGTAACAAAATGCTTCAAAGAAATTTCAAAATAATTGTAAAATTAATTTCCTAAAATTTTAAAACGTTGTAACCAATTCGTAAGAGGTTCAGAGATCCATTACCTCATTTGTTATCATACGTACTAGTAGTCTCAAATATTTATCAATCACCAAATAGTAAATCTAAAGCTTCAAAATATCATAATTGCTAGCAACGATTTCTAGACCCAAAGTCCCCAAGACTAACCAGCTAGTAGTTACTCATTGATATCTGAAACATGTTAATGAATAAAGGAATGAGTATATCGAAGATTGAAATTACACAATTTCTAAGTAGCCAACAATTTTTTCAATGCTCTAAATTTGTTGTCTTGAAGATTCAAAGCACCGACAGATTTTAATTGCCTAAAATTTGTTGGGGTTGATTGAAATTACAGCTTACATGTTTTAGATCCTAGAATTTTAACCTCTAAACAAATTAATCTCACGCAAGAAAATATATAACTGAGATTGGTTATCATAGGAAAAAATCGATACATCGTTTATGAAAATTTTGATGTCAACAATCTTACTTGGCAGACTATCCATAATTCGAAGCATAAATCCTCGCCCTGGAATGGGGTTTTAAACCCTCATTTTCTTTGGCAGCAGTTAGTAAAACACAAAACAGACCAAACTTATCTTGATTTTAACAAAGACTAAAACGACCAAGACTTGGAGTTGGAGTGAACTACTCATTTCCAAGCCGGGCCGGTTGGAAGCTGTCATCAATCACACCATTTGCGGTGTAGAACAAGTCATTGTTAGCGATTGTATGGAAGAATGGAAAATAAAAGAAAGTGATTTGTCTTCTTGAGTTAGTTTTTTTAGAGAAATAATTTGATTATGATAGTTATTGTATATAATATAACTATCACATCGTTTATCAAATAATTTATAAAAAACCCAAGTAAATCAACAAATTAAAAATACAAAAATGATAAATTCAAATATAAGATTAGATCAAACTCACAAATATTGGGATATATATTATGATCTAAAACTTCCAAGGTCTATCATCTTTATTTGAAAAGAAAATTCATTTTTTTCAAACTAAAAGTTAATTATCTACAGGGTGAATAGACACCCTTTTTTCTTATATACCAAAATAAAGTGAATCCATACCAAACATTAGATTAATTTTGCAATAATTCTACCCACAGAAATGTGCACTCTCTCTTATCCATTGAGATTAAATTTAATTCGGGGTAAATTATTTTCCAAGAAAGAAAACTAAATTTAGTTTAATTTGGGAAATAGTTATTTTCGTTTATGAATAACAATCAAAATTTTGAAAAGAGAATGCGAAAAGTCTGCACTGAATTAAAATCAGTATTCTAGACTAACGTTGACCGTATGAATCGTTAACTCTGCACCTTCGTTTGGGTTACAATAATTACTAGAAAATATTTTTTGATGCAAAAAATTCATAATAATTATGATAATTGTCGTAACGGTTTTGTGTCTGTCCGATAAATTTTGAAACGAAATAAAAAATAATGGAAGCGTCATCAATTTTTTGATTAAGTGCGATTGATCATCTATTAAAAAATATATATTTTTTACATTAATCATATCATACAATAATTATAAAACATATTAATTTGTATCACTATAAATTATAAGATAAAAAAATTAATTCGTATTCTGAACTTAACTATTAAAAAAAAATTTATCAAAAGAAAAAAAAAGTTTTTAATTAGATATATTTTATAAGAGAGAAGTTCTTAAAAAGAAAAGATTGATTTGTGAAACTTGTTGGGGAAGATAAAATTTGTTTCTTTTTAAAAAAAGAGCTTACAATTTATACAATTAACAAGTAAACTAATAATAACTTTAAAGTATTATATTATAATTAAAGTTTATGGCTAATCAAATGACTTTATACAATATTAATAAAATCACTTTGAGAAAATAATTTTAAAAAAATAGATATGACTCGACAACGATTTAAAATTAACACAAAGTAAATTTGATGTTGACTTGACGTGCTTCCCAATTAAATGGCTTTGAATCTTCAAGGGCGCTTTCCTATAAGCAAATAAACTACGTTTGGATGTTCTCCAATTTACCCTAGATATAGTCGAGGTAAGCAAAAGGGAGTCATGGGCTTGCTTGGTATCTTTAAGGAGCTTGTTCTGTCTGCAGTGAAGTTAAACAATTATAGCAACTTCAGTAGCAGCTCAAGCTAAACCGGACTGTCAAAGCAAGTGCGGAAATATCAACATCCCATACCCTTTTGGAACAGGCAGTCCTGGTTGTAATATCAGTAGGAGCTTTTTCATCCATTGTAACACTACTTTCAATCCTCCAAAAGCATTCTTAACCACCAGCAATATTGAAGTTCTCAACATCTCTCTGGATGGTTATTTGCGCATCGTTGATTCGATAGGTTATGACTGTTACAACTCATCAGGACGTAGTTCATATTTTGATACGTGGATCACACTTTCAAAATTTCCCATATCTCATGCCAAAAACAAGTTCACAGCTATTGGTTGTGACACCTACGCTTATTTTCAAGGTGTCCCAACCTACCCCTGCGAATTTTTTAAGTTTTGTGAATATTTGAACTTAAAGATGAACCTTTGAATTTTTAAATTATGAATTTTTGGATTTCAAGTTAAAGGTTTTAACATTTCTTATTTAAAGTTTTTAAAGTTGTTTAATTTTTATATAGAGAAATTCATTTCTTAATTTAAATTTGTTTAGCTTTTATTTAAAAGAGTTAATTTCTTAATTTAAAATTATTTAGCTTCTGTATTAAGGGAAATCTATTTTTTTTTTAATTTTTATGAGCCTTTGTATAGAGGAGTCTATTTCTTAATTTAAAGTTGTTTAGTTTTTGTATAAATATATCTTTTTTTTTTTAGATTTTTAAGCTTTTGTATAAAGAAATCCATTTTTTTAAAAATTGTTGAGCCCATATTTAGAAGAGTCTATTTTTTAATTCATTTTTTAAGTTGCATACCTTTATTTAGAGAATTCTTCTAAAATTTGCTTGAGTCGAAATGGACATAATGATTGTCTATATTTTTGTATCATTTTTGTTTCATAAGAATGTAAAAAGAAAGGTAACTGTAAATATTTCATTTTATCCGAAAATTTTTCAAGAATTAAAACGGGATTTTTTATCATAAATTGGGCCTTGATCAAAAAAGCTTTGAGCCCAATAATTAATAGCCTAAAAATCGATACATCGTTTATGAAAATTTTGATGTCAACAATCTTACTTGGCAGACTATCCATAATTCGAGCATAAATCCTCGCCCTGGAATGGGGTTTTAAACCCTCATTTTCTTTGGCAGCAGTTAGTAAAACACAAAACAGACCAAACTTATCTTGATTCTGACAAAGACTAAAACGACCAAGACTTGGAGTTGGAGTGAACTACTCATTTCCAAGCCGGGCCGGTTGGTAGCTGTCATCAATCACACCATTTGCGGTGTAGAACAAGTCATTGCTAGCGATTGTATGGAAGAATGGAAAATAAAAGAAAGTGATTTGTCTTCTTGAGTTAGTTTTTTTAGAGAAATAATTTGATTATGATATTTATCGTATATAATATAACTATCACATCGTTTATCAAATAATTTATAAAAAAAACCAAGTAAATCAACAAATTAAAAATACAAAAAAGATAAATTCAAATATAAGATTATATCAAACTCACAAATATTGGGATATATATTATGATCTAAAACTTCCAAGGTCTATCATCTTTATTTGAAAAGAGAATTCATTTTTTTCAAACTAAAAGTTAATTATCTACAGGGTGAATAGACACCCTTTTCTTCTTATATACCAAAATAAAGTGAATCCATAGCAAACATTAGATTAATTTTGCAATAATTCTACCCACAGAAATGTGCACTCTCTCTTATCCATTGGGATTAAATTTAATTCGGGGTAAATTATTTTCCAGAAAGAAAACTAAATTTAGTTTAATTTGGGAAATAGTTATTTTCGTTTATGAATAACAATCAAAATTTTGAAAAGAGAAAGCGAAAAGTCTGCACTGAATTAAAATCAGTATTCTAGACTAACGTTGACCATATGAATCGTTAACTCTGCACCTTCGTTTGGGTTACAATAATTACTAGAAAATATTTTTTGATGCAAAAAATTCATAATAATTATGATAATTGTCGTAACGGTTTTGTGTCTGTCCGAAAAATTTTGAAACGAAATAAAAAATAATGGAGTCGTCATCAATTTTTTTGATTAAGTGTGATTGATCATCTATTAAAATATATTTTTTTCTTTTTACATTAATCATATCATACAATAATTATAAAACATATTAATTTGTATCACTATAAATTATAAGATAAAAAAAATTAATTCGTATTCTGAACTTAACTATTAAAAAAAAATTTATCAAAAGAAAAAAAAAGTTTTTAATTAGAAATATTTTATAAGAGAGAAGTTCTTAAAAAATAAAAGATTGATTTGTGAAACTTGTTGGGGAAGATAAAATTTGTTTCTTTTTAAAAAAAGAGCTTACAATTTATACAATTAACAAGTAAACTAATAATAACTTTAAAGTATTATATTATAATTAAAGTTTATGGCTAATCAAATGACTTTATACAAGATTAATAAAATCACTTTGAGAGAGTAATTTTAAAAAAATAGATATGACTCGACAACGATTTAAAATTAACACAAAGTAAATTTGATGTTGACTTGACGTGCTTCCCAATTAAATGGCTTTGAATCTTCAAAGGCGCTTTCCTATAAGCAAATAAACTACGTTTGGATGTTCTCCAATTTACCCTAGGTATAGTCGAGGTAAGCAAAAGGGAGTCATGGGTTTGCTTGGTATCTTTAAGGAGCTTGTTCTGTCTGCAGTGAAGTTAACAATTATAGCAACTTCAGTAGCAGCTCAAGCTAAACCGGACTGTCAAAGCAAGTGCGGAAATATCAACATCCCATACCCTTTTGGAACAGGCAGTCCTGGTTGTAATATCAGTAGGAGCTTTTTCATCCATTGTAACACTACTTTCAACCCTCCAAAAGCATTCTTAACCACCAGCAATATTGAAGTTCTCAACATCTCTCTGGATGGTTATTTGCGCATCGTTGATTCGATAGGTTATGACTGTTACAACTCATCAGGACGTAGTTCATATTTTGATACGTGGATCACACTTTCAAAATTTCTCATATCTCATGCCAAAAACAAGTTCACAGCTATTGGTTGTGACACCTACGCTTATTTTCAAGGTGTCCCAACCTACCCTGCGAATTTTTTAAGTTTTGTGAATATTTGAACTTAAAGATGAACCTTTGAATTTTTAAATTATGAATTTTTGGATTTCAAGTTAAAGGTTTTAACATTTCTTATTTAAAGTTGTTTAATTTTTATATAGAGAAATTCATTTCTTAATTTAAATTTGTTTAGCTTTTATTTAAAAGAGTTAATTTCTTAATTTAAAATTATTTAGCTTCTGTATTAAGGGAAATCCATTTTTTTTTTTAATTTTTATGAGCCTTTGTATAGAGGAGTCTATTTCTTAATTTAAAGTTGTTTAGTTTTTGTATAAATATATCTTCTTTTTTTTTTTTTTAGATTTTTAAGCTTTTGTATAAAGAAATCCATTTTTTAAAAATTGTTGAGCCCATATTTAGAAGAGTCTATTTTTTAATTCATTTTTTAAGTTGCATACCTTTATTTAGAGAATTCTTCTAAAATTTGCTTGAGTCGAAATGGACATAATGATTGTCTATATTTTTGTATCATTTTTGTTTCATAAGAATGTAAAAAGAAGGTCAACTATAAACATCTCATTTTGTCCAATAAATTTTTAAGAATTGAAAACGGGCTTTTTTATCATAGATTGGGCCTTGATCAGAGCCCAACAATTAAAGCCCAAAAATTTTAATTTTTGTTATAGTTTTTGGTTTTAATCTTAATGTTGATTTTAGCTTTTAATTTAGGTTTTTATTATTTCTAGTCAAAAATCAAAAAAGTCAAAAATATAAAAAAAACCAAAAAAACAAAAAACGTGGAAATTTTGGGATTTGATTCAGTCTTGGATTTGATTCTTGAGGTTTAATGATTAAATAATTTTGGAATATATGAACCCCAATTTTCATGAAAAAGGAAAAATCACAGAAAATCAAATTAATAAAATCCTTAAATCAATTTGATTAATTAGAAAGGGATTCAATCCCTATAAACAAAAGCAATTACAAGCAAGCCAAAAGAGGGGAAGGAAACATAGAAACCATAAGGGGCATGAACAAATTCCTTCGATCACAGTTTTGGGGTTTAGTTTTTTTTTTAATTATGAAATTTTTTATCAAGATTTGAGGTGTGTGCTCTTGGTGTTCTTGTAATTGGTTAGGATTTGTGATTCGATTCTAGACTTATTTAAAGTTTTTAGGCTTTGAGAAAGTTGTTTTGATTATGGGTTGATGATTTTTTTTTTTTTTAGTTTTATGTGGAATTTTCAACTTGAATTTCTGGGTTTGGGTTTAAACTTTTTGGTTTTTCAGGGTTCGATTGAATTTTCCACTGGTGGGTTGACGACAGTCGATAATGGCGTATATTGGCAGCACGGTGAAGTTTAACTGGAATCTAGACAAATTAGGTGCTGTTCTTGATGTTCATCATTTTCTGGAGATAAAGGAAAGGAATTAAAAGTTAGCGAGAGAAAGAACCAAAGCCTTCTAAAAAAATGAAAAATTTTCACCTTTTATATCAATCCAAAATGACGCCATTTCAAGAGTTCAAGATCCATGTCCTAACCCATGTGACTTGCATGTCTACTCGCTTAGAATCCGACACAGAGTGTAGGTTTTCTGTTTTTCATTTTCTTTTACTTTTTGATTTTGATTTTCTTTTATTTTTCTTTTCTTCTTTGGTTTGATTTTTTTATTATTTAAATTAGTTAATTAAATTTGAAAGGATGATAAGAAGAAAAACTTTTGATAAGATTGTTTATGATGTTTTTATTTATATATATATTTGCATTATTGTTAATTAATTGCATGATACTTTATATTTATTGTATAATAATTTTGCATGATAATTTTTGTTTATTTTAATTGATTTTTTAAATTTCAAAAAAATTTCAAAAAAATAAAATTTTAATCCTATCAAATTATAAGAGGATTTAAATCTTAAATTAAGTCTTACCAAATTAGAGGACTTAATGAATTTTCTAGAAAATTTTTTTTAAAATCTTTTCAACATATTAAAGTATAATCTTTGAAAGAAAATTTTACCAATATATTGAAAGATATTTTTAAAAATAAATTATTTATATAAAAATTAAATTTTGAATTTTCGATGATGGAATCACTAAAAGTGTTGTAAATAGTAATCTCTATGTAAATTTTTAAGTGAAAAAATATTTTTTTTATTTTATTAACATATTAGAGAATTTAGATAAAAATTTTTTGATATTAAAATTTTAAATACCACTAATAAAAGTTTTGTTTAAAAAATTTAAATGAATCCTACAACAGAGACTTTTTAGAGGGAAACACTAATCAATACTCTTGAAATCAAAAAAATTATTTTAAATTACTATATAATTATTAGAGTAATTTTAGGATCAATCTTTAATAAATAAATTATTTGATAAAATTATAAAAATACTCTAAATCTTAGATAACTTGAAATCAAATTGGTATTATTCTTTAGATAAACGTTACGAAGATGTTATAATCTTCTTTATACATAATTACATTTCAAAACTTAAATTTGATTTTGTAGACTTAAATTTAACTTTTAAAAATACTCAAATCAAGTTTGAGATCTCTCTAAAATTAGATATATTTAATTAAGTAACTAATCACATCTAAATAAAAAATAATGATAATTCTTTTAATTTATATTTAATAATAAATTTATTGATTTATATGTTATGATAATTATATGATTGTATTTGAATTTCAAAATAAAAGGGGGAAATAAATGCCAAAAAAAAAAAAGCTCAAAATGAAAAAAATAAGTGGTTGCCTGCTAGCCACCGTTCACTTTACTTTCTTTCTTTATACTTTTAAAAGTCTTAGTTGATAAATTCTTTTCTTCCCTTTTGTCTCTTTCACCAAATATTGGATGGTCAAGTGGCAAAAACCAAATAGATACTACGAGTCTTTTTTGGGTGTTAAATCTTCTTTCATTCTTTCCTTTTTTTTTCTTTTTTTTTTGTGGTTGCAGTGAAAAAAATATAAAAAAAATATATAAACTTAAATTTCTAATATGTATAAAAAATTTTGGTTTTTGATAAGTTCTTAGTTCCTTGCTGCTTTTAAGTTAAATATACCAGCACATGTAAGCTGTTGCCGTTGTTTGGATGCTGAGAAAACTGAAAAAAAAAAAAAGAAAGAAATACTTAATCATAATATGTAAAAAGTATTGAACTTGAGCACAATCTTGATCCTTTTCTGCCTTCTGCTTCTTCTTTTTTTCAACTTCATCATATTGTGCTCTTTTTTTGTAGACTTAATCTCTATTTTAGATGCAAAAAGTTTATTCCTTTCCCACTCCTTTTTCAGCTTCTAGATTCTTCCCCCTTCGTTTTCGCCATACATTCTCAGCAAATGAAGAATTTTCTTTCATTTTTTATTGATCAGGTGTCATACAAGCAAAAGTTTGGAGACAAAATTATAAGATAATACGATACGATACGATGATAAGCAACAGAAATTGGAGGCTTAATTGAGGTCTAATTTTTGTTGGTTTGCTAAAGGTTTTAGAATCTCATTTGAAAGCTGTTAACGTTGAGAGAAGAGAAACAACTGATTTGGGAGCACTGAACCTATTAGGGATTTAGGTTTTTTTATTTTATTTTATTTCATTTTTTTTAATTTTATAATTTAAATAAAAAAGAGTGGGATAGACCACCCTGAGATGTGACATGTCACTTAAGATTTAAGATGATAATTATATTGTTAATGTGTTTTTTTTAATTTACGTGATAATTTTTTATTGAAAGTATCATACTCATTATTTGAAATTAAAAGTGTTAATTATAAATATCTTATTAGTTTGACAGAATTATTTGTTCAAATATTTTATTAAAAATTTTTAAAGTGTACAGTACTGACGCATGCTTTCCTTAGGATGGGGTTTTAAACCGTCATTTTCTTTGGCACTAACGGGTAAAAAGACAAAACTTATCCTGACTTTAAACGAAGACTAAAACGACCAAGACTCGGCGTCAACTACTCATCACCAGCCCCGGCTGGTTGGTAGCTCTCTTCAGTTACACTACTTAAAATTTGCAGTGTAAAACAAGTCATTAGGGAAGAACCGAATCGAAAATAAATGAAAGTGAATTGTTTTCTTGAGTTTATATATAGAGGAGAAATAATTTGATTGTAATATTTATTGTGTATAATATAATTCTCACATCGGTTATAAATTGATATATAAAAATAACCAAGTAAATCAACAAATTAAAAAAAAAAAACAAAAATGATAAACTCAAATACAACATTAGATCAAACTCGGGACATATATTATGATCTAAAACTTCCAAGGTCTATTATCATCATTTGAAAAGAGAATTCATTTTTTCAAACTAAAAGTCAGTTTTTTACAGGGTGAGTAAACACCCTTTTTTTCTTATATACCAAAATAAAGTGAATCCATATCAACCATTAGATTAATTTTGCAATAATTCTACCCACAGTAATATGCAATCTCTCTTATCCATTGGAATTAAATTTAATTCTGGGGAAAAAATAATTTTCAAGGAAGAAAATTTAATTTAATTTAATTTGGGTGATTTTTTTTACTTTTATGACTAGTCAACAAAACTTTTAAAAGAGAAAGGGAAAAGTCTACACTACAATTAAATCAGCGCGGTAGACATACGTTGACCCTATGACTTCATTATTCTGCACCTTTTATGGGTTACACTAACTAGCAAACATGATTCGTGCTTGCCAACTAATGGCTTTGAATCTTCAAACAAGCTTTCCTATACATTAATAACAAATATTTGGATATTCTCCAATTTATCCTAGATATAGTTGAGGAAAAGCTAAGAAAGAAAGATTCATGGGTTTGCATGGTGTCTTTAAGGAGCTTGTTCTGTTCGCAGTGAAGTTAACAATTGTAGCAACTTCAGTAGCAGCTCAAGCAAAACCGGGCTGCCATAATAACTGCGGAAATATCAGCATCCCGTACCCTTTTGGTACAGGCAGTCCTGGCTGTAATATCAGTAGCAGCTTTTTCATCCGTTGTGACACTACTTTCAACCCTCCAAAAGCATTCCTAACCACCAGCAATATTGAAGTTCTCAACATCTCTCTGGATGGTTATTTGCGCATCGTTGCTTCGATAGGTTATGACTGTTACAACTCATCAGGACGTAGTTCATATTTCGATATGTGGATCACACTTTCAAAATTTCCCATATCTCATACCAGAAACAAGTTCACCGCTATTGGTTGTGACACCTACGCTTATGTTCAAGGTTCCTTAGGACATAACTATTCAACCGGATGTTTAACATTTTGTAATGAAATTACCGATGTGATAAATGGATCTTGCTCTGGCATTGGCTGCTGCCAGACGGGTATCCCAAAAGGAGTGAGGAGTTATCATGTAACTTTTTATAGTTCCTTCAACCATTCCTATGTATTGGGCTTCAATCCTTGCAACTACGGCTTTGTTGTAGAAGATGGAGCCTATAGCTTCTTTGTTTCAGATCTTTACACAAAAAATTTCACTGACCGGGAATTTCCAATTATTCTTGATTGGACAATCGGGAATCAAACTTGCACAGAAGCTAAAATGGATCCAGAAAATTATGCTTGCAAGGAAAACAGCTATTGTATAGATCCAGAAAATGGCCCTGGATATCTGTGCAAGTGTCTTGACGGTTTTCAGGGTAACCCTTACCTTTCCCATGGTTGCCAAGGTAAAGATATCAAATTCTCCATTTTGGCTTCAATCAATGAATTTATCTTATTTCCACGGTCTGTTATATGTAGATAATTATACTTTTGTTTCCAGTTTTTCTTTAAATGTGTGAAAATTTCCAGATATTAATGAGTGTGACACACTGAAGCCTTGCGATGGAACATGTAACAATGTACCTGGAAGTTATAGTTGTTCATGCCCTGAAGGGTTTGAGGGCGATGGCTGGAAAAATGGAACAGGCTGCAGTCCTAAGGTTATCCCCCACCGTCAGAGTTTTCCATTTCTTGTTGTTGCCCTAGGTTGGTACATATAAACAACGTTACTAAAATTTTAATCTCTGTTGATTTTGTATAGATGCTAATTATTATATACTTTGTACGATGAATTAATTAGATGAGACAAAACTAATCAAAGTTTAAACGAAGTTAGTTGAACTGACAATTTTTTTTATATTCTAAAGAATCTAGATTATATATATCTCAAACAAATTCAAATATACTAATGATTACCTTTTTGTAAAATTTGACATCTTTTATATTAAATTTATTATTGATTAGAAGTAAATAAAAATGGGTTTTTTAAAAGCTTTCAATATTGAAATGGTATTTAATCATACATTTATGTTGAGTCAATTTAATAAAATATTTAAAATAAATAACTATTTTAAATTTGATTAAAAAAATTAAGACGGTATTTGCAAATTTGAAAGGATTAAAATATTGTTTTGTGGTACAAAAAAAATTAAAATTCAATGAAAATTGGCCAACACTTGTGAAATTAAAGAAAAAATCAATAAATAAACTCAATTAATCAATTCCTATCATCTTCTCAAAACAATATAAAATAAATAAAATAATAAACTTTTGATAGCATTTAACAAGTTCGAAATTTAAATTTTAACATTTATCTTCTTTTAATTTATTTTTAAATTTAGATTTCTTTTATATATATTTTAAAAATACTTATTTTAAAGGCTAGATGAAGTACTTCTCATTGCAAAACAAAATGAAACAGCACAATTAAGTTTTTTAAAATATTTCCGCGGTAACTAATATATTACGTCTGGATTACAGGTATAGGCGTTAGTCTATTATCTTCCCTCTTGTGCTCGTCATGGGTGTATTTGGGGCTCAGGCAAAGAAAGCTCACCAAATTGAAACAGAAAAACTTTCAGCAAAATGGTGGAATTTTGTTGCGAGAACAACTTTCGAAACTTGAAGAATGCAGCGAAACAGGTAAAATATTTACAGCCGACGAACTCAGGAAGGCAACGAACAACTACCATGAAACTAGAATACTCGGAAAAGGAGGTCAGGGGACTGTTTACAAAGGAATATTGCCTGATGGTCGAAGGGTTGCCATAAAAAAATCCAGCATTGGAGATCAAAGCCAAGTTCAACAATTCATTAATGAAGTTATTGTGCTATCCCAAATCAACCATAGGAATGTGGTAAAACTCTTGGGATGTTGTTTGGAGACACCAGTCCCCTTGCTAGTCTATGAATATGCAAGGAATGGAACCCTCTTCAACCACTTGCACAATGCTGCTCTTGCATCAGTCATGTCATGGGAAACTCGTCTGAAAATAGCCATAGAAACGGCAGAAGCCCTTTCCTATTTGCACTCAGCTGCATCTCCGCCGATTATTCATCGCGATGTCAAGTTGACCAACATACTTTTAGACGAAACTTACAATGCTAAAGTATCTGACTTTGGCGCTTCAAGATTGGTCCCTACAGATAAAACACAGATAACAACGCTTGTGCAGGGGACTCTCGGTTACTTGGATCCTGAATACTTGCATACAAGTCAATTGACCGAAAAAAGTGATGTTTATAGCTTTGGGGTCGTTCTCATTGAGTTACTAACAGGTCTACAAGCGCTTTCTTTTGAAAGACCAGAAAAAGAGAGGAATTTGTCTATGTACTTTGTTTCTGCGATAAAAGAGGGTCTCTTGCTAGAAATTCTTGATAGACGAGTGGTGAATGAAAAAAACATTGAGCAGCTTAAGGAGGTGGCAACTTTAGCTAGGAGATGTGTGAGAGTGAAGGGAGAGGAAAGGCCAACTATGAAGGAAGTTGCCTCTGAATTAGAAGGATTGCTGGCAATGGAGAAACAGCTATGGGGAAAAGGCGACTTACATGAGGAAGAGGCTGAACCCTTGCTTGATGACCCGTATAAAAATAGCATTCGCTATGATGGCTCAACTAGCTTCTCGATGGGGCCTGACAGCATTAAAAACCAAGTCAGTTTTGAAGTTGATGGTGCACGATGATCTCCTTTTACCTGTTGGTTTTCCTATACATTTTCTTCTCCTTCTCTTGGTTGTGAAAGATGTTATCTGATTAGCTTAAATAGTGAGCTTGTTGTATTAGAAATTGGATCCAAAAGCAGAACTTTAGTAATTTCCCATATATTCAGAGTGAATAAAGTTCCATCTTATGATCTTTTCGGTTTTACAATAAAAAATGTTTTGGATTTAATTATTATAGTTTTGGCCCTTCAATGGGTTAATGATAACAAAATATATTCAACTAAAAATTTTATATATATATATATATATATATATATTCTCTCTATCACATTAAATTAAGATCAGTTAACCATTCCTTTTAACAATACTCTAGCAATTGATCATCATAACTAACCATAATTAGGCTCAAATTAAGAAAAATACACATAAACGCAAATTAATTCCTCTAATATGAAATCAAATGCTAAAGTGCGGCTAAAATGTTGAAATCTCCCCCCAATAGAAACTCATTTTATATCTTGTCTTACCAGTCAAATAGGAGGGTGGTGAGCAATTTTTTTACCCTCCTTTCCCTCCATCACTTCTACCCTCTCACTCATTTTGTGGAGGCATCATATACCGAATGGTGTTACATATACCTAACACGAGATTGATCAGTCGGAAAATTTTGTGAAAAGTCATAAGTAATATTGATCTTTTATAGCATTGAAAGGTATATGATTGTATTAACAAAACAAAAAAAGTACTTGAGTAAAGTAATGGTTAATAATGTAAATATAAAATTATTATTAGTTGGTAATATAATAAATTCTTTTGACATTAGTTGAAATTAACTCCAAAATTTTTTTTATTAAGTTAAAAAGACTCTAAAAGAAAGAAAATTATAGTGGAAAAAGGAAAGAGAACCATTTATTAAGAATCAACAACAAAGAAAAAGAAAATAAAAAATTGTCGAAAAAAATCTACATTATTTTAGTGTAAATACCAAAATAATATTTCTAACAAAAAAACTAAATCTACATTATTTGACAGTTTTTTTTCATCTTAGTTTGACCAAGTAAGCCTTATTTGATCATAATTCGATTCTTTTTGTTTAAATTTTTAGATTTAAATTAATTTTGATAGCATTATATAAAAATTTAATATTTTTAAAGTTATCAAATTTTTTTTTTTAAATTTTTTGAAGTCACGTGACATTTTTATCATGACTCGTAAAGTGAATTTATTTTATTACAACATTCTAGAAGTGAACTTGTATAACATTCCTTTGAATTTTCGATCCAAAATTGTTTTTAAAACAACTTCTTATAAAAATAAAAAAAAGTTCTTGTAGAGAGTTTTTATATGTATAAAGTTGATTTTTAATATTTTTTAATTTTTTAATTTTATATTTTAGAAGTATTTGATAATTTGTTAATGAAATTTATTTTAAATTATAATAGTTTTAAATAAAATACTGTAAACAACTATATTACTTAATAATTTATTAGACTTGTTTAAGGGTCAAATTATCCACTCAAGTTTTAAGAAAATTTGGATAAAAAATTAAAATTTTTTAAATGGATTTTGATATAATTTTTAGACTCATTTAAATTTTAAACTAAACCTTAAATAAAATATTTAAAATTCAAACTCGATCTGAATTCATATATATATATATATATTTATATATATATGTGAATTATATATAAATTAATTCACATATACATAAAAATAAAAAATAAAAATTATATATATTTTATCAAAATTATATTTTATTTTTATATAACTTTTTTAATTTATATATGAATTAAATATAATTTTATTAAATTTTATTAAAGTTTTTATTAAAATTTTTTATTATATAAATTAAATTTAATATATAAAATATTAATATCAAATATAAACTTATCCAAACCAACTCAACTATAAACACCGCTAGAAGTTGGCCTTAATGAACATAAATCCTCGTCTGTCCCTCTAAGAAGAAATGTCATTTGGTTCACCAGACAGTAAGTACGTTCCGGTCCCAATGTACCAGGTACTTCATCCACAAAACTCCAAAAATGTACCAGTTTGTTTTTCCTTTTGAATTTTCGCTGCTGAAAACAGCAATTGTCTTTCAGTTGTTTCACCTGTAATTACTTGGAACTTCATTGATAGGTACTTCAGTTGAACTCAACAATCAGCTTCTCTAATTGACCAATATAAAGTTGTTCTAACAAAAACAGGAACCAGGTAGAAATTCTATAATTCACGCCGCTGCTGCTGCTAATAATAATAATAATAATATCCTAAATGTTGAGTTTCTCGGAAAAAGAAAAGAACAAATAATATATCAGGTCTTCCAAAAAAAAAAAATATGTAACTGGATTTTTAAATAAATATTTGTAATTTTGAAAGCAGTTAAAATAAAAAAAATGAGATATAAATTCTCATTTGTGAGAGAAGTATAAATTAACTCGTATTTATATCCTTTCGATCATTTTAATAAATTTTTATGTAAATCTATAACAGGGCAACCCCAAAAGACGGGCGAGAATCAATCGAGCATTCACGTGGTCAAAATTACCGGTCTTATACACAACTTTGTATATTTCGTTTTCACTGAGAATTACTACAATGTTGTTTTTGCCATTTTTTTTAATATAGAAAAGAGAGATTCCAACCTTTTTCTTTTTAAAAGAAGGGGCAATACTTTGAAAATTACGGTAGTACAAATGTTTGGATACTGGAAATTGGCTTATCAATCAAATTCTTGGTCAATTTATATTTCTTTCTTAAAATTTTGGCCCACTTACCAATCCTTTGTCGACGGTTTGTCACGCCGATTGGATTATGACTTTGCTTGGTAAGAGAGAAAGTGAGGGGTCGGAATAAGTGGATGGTAAAGAACATAGAAATTAGATAACGAATTGTTCTTACCCTCCTATTTGACTGGTTAAATATCTGAGATTTCTCAAAATTTTAATTGTAGCAACTACGTTCTAGTTATCTCATTATTACATCATTTTAGCACATCCAAACGTTTGGCTTGATGATAACTACATGCATATTCCGGTGGAAAAGCTAAGTTCATATCCTCCTTTCTTTAAATAAGAAAAAATCATTTTAGCCATGCCTTAGTTTCTAATTTCATATATTAAATGAATTAATAACAATTAATTGCTGAATGCACCTTTTATTAATTAATGATGAAACGTTAGATAGTCTTATGGAAATGGTAAACACTTAATTTAATGTGAAATAGTGAGTAAATATTTTTATTTGTAGTTGAATATATTTTGATATCATATAAACTCATTGAAGAGCAAATTTTATTTTTTTATTTTTTAACTATGCTGCAGCTGGCCTGCTGCTGCCAACATTATTTTGAGCATGAAAATATCTATGCGCATTTAATTTCGCACAAATCAATGTCAATGTACCGTAGACAACTTCAAAATATTGATAGTCAATGATTGCTTGACGATGTAAATCAGCCACTACGGTATCAAAAGACGGCAACCTAAAGGAGAAGGGTTGGAATAAATAGATCATTCATGTGGGTAAAGGTAATGATCAACCATTGTGTATTGCTTCCTATATTTTCATTGGTCATATCTTTAATTCAGCATAAGATATTTTTGGAGATATTTCAAACATTTGTTTACAATTTTACAGGATAGCTCAAAATTTATTGGAAGAAATTCGGGTAACCAAAAGGGAGGGGGGGGGGGGGGGGGACCATTCACTAGGGTATGAGCGCTAGTCCAACAGAAAGTATTGCAAGATCAATTGTCTCTTCAGATATTGGAAAATGGCTAGCTTTGCCAATCTTTTTCTTAATCATGTTTCTTTCTTGAAAACATACTCCTTTCGTTTCTTCTTTTTTTATTCATCTTTCTTTTATGTCTCAAAATTATATAAATTTTTTATTTTTTATTTTTGAAAATTTTTATTTTTTATATTTTAAAATTATTTTTGATAACTTTTTTATTTTTTGATATTAAAAATTATGAAATTTTAATTTTATAAAAAAATTAAAATTTAATATTAAAACATTAGAATCAAAGTCTATTTTTTTTTAAATTTCATGAAAGTCAATAACAGTCAAACATTTAAGACGAAAAAAGAATTATATTGTTTTAACAAAATTTAACTACTAACCAATCCCATCTTAGGTATTTGTCACACAATTTTCTTTTACAATTTAGTGGAAGCAAAAAAATAAAAAATTTTGGGTTCGTTTTAATATATATATTTAATTTTTGGGTTTTTAGTGGGGTAAAATATAAAAATGACTAAAATTTTGGATATCTTATTAATAGTAAAATTTAATTTTCAAAATTCTAGTGGGCCTCATCTTGAATCCGTTTGAGTTTACCGCATTCCACTTGATTAGTAATAAACCTGCCTTTAAAACTTTTGCTAAATGCGTGGAAACTTATACTCTAATTAAGAAAGATGATGATGGGATCAGTAATACTTATGGAGGTTATGATATTGCTTAATGTTATGTTTGTTGTCGTAACGGTTTTGTATCCGTCCGACGAATTTGAAAACGAAATAAAAAACGGAGTCGCCACCAATCTTTTTTGATTAAGTGCGATTTGCCACCTATTAAAATATATCTTTTTAATGAAATTTTAAAATTAATAAAAATTTATTAAAAAGATAATTTTAGGGTCTGCGCAATTGTCTGGATTCAGGAGTCGGTTATGTGTGGGGAAGGATTAGCACCCTCACAGCGCCCGTTAAAAACGGTACCAATTAACAACATGTTATCCTTTGATTTTAATAAAAAATAGTCTAATTTTCGGTGTTCGAAAAATAATTTCCTTGATTTTTATTAGTTATTAGAAAAAAATTATTCTCGAAAAAAATAAATTAAAACCTTTTTATTGAAATAATTCTTAAAATGTTCCAGTACGTTGGTAATATTAAAAGAACTTTTTCTTACCTAGAGATTTTTTAAAGCATCTCTACTCGAAATACTTTTAGAATCTCATCTTTGGAGGCTCGAATTTATTTTTCGTAAGAAAATGTCATGTTAAAAAAAATTTATTCCTAAGAAAAATAAATTAAAACCTTTTTATTGAAATAATTCTTAAAATGTTCCAGTATGTTGGTAACATTAAAAAAACTCTTTCTCACCTAGAAATTTCTTA